TGATAATAACACAATAATAGTAGAGGATTTTAACACCCCACTTACAGCAATGGACAGATCATCTAAGCAGAAAAGCAACAGAGAAACAACGGCTTGAATGAACACTGGACCAGATGGACTTAACAGATATACTCAGAACATTCCATCCTAAAGCAGCAGAATACACATTCCTTTCAAGTGCGCATGAGACATTCTCCAGAACAGATCACATACTGGGTCACAAATCAGGCCTCAACAAGTACAAAAAGACTGAGATCATACCATGCATATTATCTGACCACAATGCTATAAAACTGGAAGAAGTCAACCACAAGACCACAAGAAAAAATCTGGGAAGATCACAATACATGGAAGTTAAGGAACATCCTACTAAAGCATGAATGGGTTAACCAGGAAATTAAAGAAGAAATTAAGAAAAAAAAAAAATACATGGAAACAACTGAAAACATGATGGTCCAAAACCTTAGAGATGCAGCAAAAGTGGTCATAAGAGGGAAGTATATAGCAATATAGGCCTACCACAAAAAGCAAGAAAAATCTCAAATATACGACCTAACTTCACACGTAAAGGAGTTAGAAAAAGAATGGCAAGTGAAGCCTAAAGCCAGCAGAAGAAAGGAAATAATAAAGATTAGAGCAGAAATAAATGATATAGGGGTGCCTGGGTGGCTCAGTCGGTTAAGCATCCAACTCTTGATTTCAGCTCAGGTCATGCATGATCTCAGGGTCTTGAGACTGAGCCCCAAGTCAGGCTCCATGCTGGGTGTGGAATCTGCTTAGGATTCTCCCTCTCCCTTTCCCTCTGCCCCTCCCCTCCACTCGTGCTGTTTCTCCCTCTCTATCTCTCTAAAACAAGAAAAGAAAGAAATGATAGAGAAACAAAAAGAGCAGTAGAACAGATCAATGAAGCCAGGAGCAGGTTCTTTGAAGGAATTAATAAAATTGATCACTTCCCAGACAGACTTATCAAAAAGAAAAGAGAAAGGACCCAAATAAACGAAATCACAAATGAGAGAGGCTAGATCATAACCAACACCACAGAAATACAAACAATTATAAGAGAGTATTTTGAAAAATTATATGCCAACAAATTGGGCCATCTGGAAGAAATGGATAAATTCCTAGAAACATAAACTACCAAATCTGAAACAGGAATACAAAACCTGAACAGACGCATAACCTGCAAAGAAACTGAAGCAGTAATCAAAACTCTCCCAACAAACAAAAGTCCAGGGCCAGATGGCTTTCAGGGGAATTCTACCAAACCTTTCTTTTTATTACAATTACTGGATATTATTATATCCACTTAGTTCTTTTTTTTTTTTTAAGATTTTATTCATTTATTTGACAGAGAGACAGAGAAAGCGAGCACAAGCAAGGGGAGCTGCAGAGACAGAGGGAGAAGCAGGCTCCCTGCTGAGAAGGGAGCCCCATGTGGGGCTCAATCCCAGGACCCCAGGACCATGACCTGAGCTGAAGGCATATACTTAACCGACTGAGCCACCCAGGTGCCCCTCTACCAAACATTTAAAGAGTTAATACCTATTCTTCTCAAACTATTCCAAAAAATAGAAATGGAATGAAAACTTCCAAACTCATTCTATGAGGCCAGCATTACCCTGATTTCAAAACCAGACAAAGACTCCACTAAAAAACAAAACTACAGGCCAATATCCCTGATGAACATGGATGCAAAAATTCTCAACAAAATACTAGCAAATCAAATCCCACAGTACATTAAAAGAGTCATTCCCATGATCAAGTGGGATTTATTCCTGGGTTGCAAGGGTGGTTCAATATTTGCAAATCCTTCAACATGATACACCACATTAATAAAAGAAAAGAACCATATGATCCTCTCAATAGACGCAGAAGAAGCATTTGACAAAGTACAGCATCCATTCTTAATAAAAACTCTCAACAAAGTAGAGATAGAGGGAAGATACCTCAACATCCTAAAAGCCATATATGAAGGATCGACAACTAATATCATCCTCAATGGGGGAAAACTGAGCTTTTCCTCTACAGTCAGGAACAAGACAGGGATGTCCACTCTCACCGCTGTTATTTAACATAATGCTGCAAGTCCTAGCCTCAGCAGACAACAGAAAGAAATAAAAGGCATCTGAATTGGCAAGGAAGAAGTCAAACTTTCACTATTTGCGGATGACATGATACCCTACGTAGAAAACCCGAAAGACTCCACCAAAAAAAATTGCTAGAACTGATACACAAATTCAGTAAAGTAGCAGGATAAAAAAATCAATGTACAGAAATGTGTTGCATTTCTGTACAATAATGAAGTCCAGAAAGGATAAATCAAGGAATCACTCCCATTTACAATTGCACCAAAATCCATAAGATACCTAGGTATAAACCTAACCAAAGAGCTAAAAGACATGTACACTGAAAACTATAGAACCCTGATGAAAGATGACACAAAGAAATGGAAAAACATTCCATGCTCATGGATTGGAAGAACAAATATTGTTAAAACATCTATACTACCGAAAGCAATCTACACATTTAATGCAATCCCTATCAAAATACCACCAGCATTTTTCACAGAGCTAGAATAAACAATCCTAAAATTTGTATGGAACCAGAAAAGACCCTGAATAGCCAAAGCAATCTTGAAAAAGAAAAACAGAACTGGAGGCATCAGGACTCTGAATTTCAAGCTATATTACAAAGCTGTAGTGATCAAGACAGTATGGTACTGGCACAAAAACAGACACACAGATCAGTGGAACAGAATAGAAAACCCAGAAATGGACACACAACTATATGATCATAATCTTCAACAAAGCAGGAAAGACTATCCAATGGAAAAAAAAGTCTCTTCAACAAATAGTGCTGGGAAAACTGGACAGCAATATGCAGAAGAATGAAACTGGACTGCTTTCTTACACGAAACACAAAAATAAATTCAAAATGGATGAAAGATCTAAATGTGAGACAGGAAACCATCAAAATCTTAGAGAACACAGGCAGTAACATCTTGGACCTCATCTATAAGCAACTTCTTACTAGATACATTTCCGCAGGCAAAGGAAACAAAAGCAAAATGAACTATTGGGACTTCTGCACAGTGAAGGAAACAATCAACAAAACTAAAAGACAACCTTTGGAATGGGAGAAAGTTATTTGCAAATGACTTATCTGACAAAGGGTTAGTATCCAAAAATCTATAAAGAACTTAGAATTCAGGGCGCCTGGGTGGCTCAGTCGGTTAAGCGCCTGCCTTCGCCTCAGGTCACGATCCCAGGGTCCTGGGATTGAGCCCCACATCGGGCTCCCTGCTCAGTGGGGAGGACTGCTTCTCCCTCTCCCTCTGCCTGTCGTTCCCCCTGCTTGTGCGCTCGCACACTGTCTCTGTCAAATAAATAGTCTTAAAAAAAGAAGAACTTATGAATTCAACACCCAAAAAAACAAACAATCCCAGTTAAGAAAAAGGCAGAAGATTTGAATAGACATTTTTCCAAAGAAGACAGATGGCTAACACATAAAAACATGCTCAACATTACCTATCATCAGGGAAATACGTATCAAAACTACAATGAGATACTACCTCACATCTGTCAGAATGGCTAAAATAAACAATACAGGAAACAACAGAGGTTGGTGAGGATGCGGAGAAAATGGAATGTTCTTTTTTTTTTTTTTATTTATTTATTTGACAGAGAGAGAGATAGCGAGAGCAGGAACACAAGCAGGGGGAGTGGGAGAGGGAGAAGCAGGCTTCCCGCGGAGCAGGGAGCCCGATGCGGGACTCGATCCCAGGATCCTGGGATCATGACCTGAGCCGAAGGCAGACGCCCAACGACTGAGCCACCCAGGCGCCCCGAAAATGGAATGCTCTTGCACTGTTGGTGGGAATGCAAGCCGGTGCAGCTACTCTGGAAAATAGTATGGAGGTTCCGCAGAGAGTTAAAAATAGAACTACCCTATGATCCAGCAATTGCACTACTAGATATTTACCCAAAGGATACAAAAGCACTGATTTGAAGGGGCACATGAACCCCGATGTTTATAGTAGCATTATCAACAATAGCCAAATTATGGAAAGAGCATAAAAGTCCATCGACTGATGAATGGATATCGACTGATGAATGGATAAAGATATGATACACACACACACACACACACACAATTACTCAGCCATAAAAAAGAATGAAATCTTGCCATTTGCAATGACATGTATGGAGCTAGAATCAATAAAGTCAGTCAATAAAGACAAACACCATATAATTTCACTCATATGTGGAATTTAAGAAACAAAACAGATGAACACAGGGGAAAGAAAAAAAAGAGAGAGAAGCAAACCATAAAAGACACTCTTAATGATAGAGAACAAACTGAGGGTTGATGGAGGGAGGCGGGTAGGGATGGGCTAGATGGGTGATGGGTATCAAGGAAGGCACTTGTGATGAGCACTGGGTGTTTTATATGAGTGATGAATCACTAAATTCTACCCCTGAAACTGACAGTACACTATATGTTAACTAACTAGAATTTAAATAAAAACTTGAAACATTAAAAAAAAAAGAAGAAGACTGGCAGAATTGGGCGCTTGGGTGACTCAGTCAGTTGGCGTCTGCCTTCGGCTCGAGTCATGATCCCAGGGTCCTGGGATTGAGTCCTGCGTCAGGCGCCCGGCTCAGCAGGGAGCCTGCTTCTCCCTCTCCTCCCCGCTCACGCTCTCTGTCACTATGTCTGTCTCTCTCAAATCAATAAAATCTTTAAAACAACAACAACAAACTCGTTCTTTAAAAAAAAGAAGACTGGCAGAATACATATCAATCTGTTAAGCCAAATTATTTCTGGGGAGGGAAATCAGGGAAAAAGCAAAGTGATACTTTAATCTACACTTTCCCTGTTTTCAATCTTTTAGCATAAGCTTGGTACTCATGTATTATTTGGTATTTAAAATAATATATTTTTAAAGTAGCAAAAAGCAATAAAAATACTCAAAAAAAATCTCAGAAAAGAGCAAATACCATGTTGTAGTCTGCTAATTGTCCTTGAAACTCTTTGATTTCAACAGCTAAAGTCTCAGCTCTGCAAGCATAAAATAAATATTCATAAACACATGAATAAGAGCATTACAAACATTATATATAACTATGAATTCAGTATTAAACTTCTGAAATATATTACATTAAATGTTGTCTATTAATAAAAAAGATCTTGTATAATTTTAACTCCAAAATTACTTACCTCTTTTCATATGACAAATATACTGAATTCTCTTGATTGTACATTTCTATCTCTTTCTGAAGTTTATTAATTTCTGTTGTAAGTTCACTTATTTTACTTCTAAATGAAAAGAAATTAGGAAGTTAGCAATACTTCTAACCCAGAAAAGAGCCTTTCTAGTCAAACAAAGCAAACTTCTCATGTGTTAACAATATAAATGGTTTTGTGAAATTTCACTAAAGAAAAGAAAAACAATTTATGTGGCTTGTTTAACTAAGAATGAGGCATATCCCAACTTTGATAAGAAACTAAAAGAGATTCTCTAATCATTAAGATGAACTAGGACCAGAATGTAAGCCTGGTCAAACAAACAACCTTTAGACAGAAGTAGATGCTTAATTGTCACCCTTACAGCGCCTGCTACCCTCTAGGACAGGGCTTCTCAAAAGCAGCACTATTGACATTTTAGGTCATTAAAGAATAAGTCTGACAGTGGGGAAGGGGCTATGCTGTGCACTGTAGGATGTTTAACAGTATACCTGGTCAAGTTGTCAGTAGCATAACCCCTCAACCCCAGCTGTGACAACCAAATATCTGTCTAAAAATTGCCAAATGTTCTCTAGGGGACAAAATCACTGCCAGTTGAGAACCACTGCTATAGCATCAAACAATTACATAAATAGCTAGAACTATTTTTTTTATGCTGAAGCACAAATCCTGAAGAAGCATGGAAATGCTATGATGAAAAATAGTTCTATAACTTTTCCTTCTTTTAATTAAAAAGTGGCTGGATATCAAGAGATGCTATACAACTGATGGCCTCACTATTTTTTTCTTTTTTTGCTGATGTTAGTTTAGGTTAATGCTAACCTTAATGGACTGATGGGGAAAACCTACATTTCTCTTTATTGCCTTCTAGAAGTCTGAGAATCATAAAGGATTCTGATAATTGAGAAATGAAAGAATCCAGAAGAACTAAGAAAATAGAACTTTTAGGACATGATGGAAGATGGATTAAATGAAATGGAAGTAAGAGAGAAAGAAGATCTAGATGATGAGCCAAGAAGAAAACAAAGTAAAATGGGGAAATGGAGAGAGTAGGACATCTGAGCAAGAAAAAGGTAAGAAAAAAATTCTCAGTTTAGAGCTTAATACTTAGAGCCACATAATAAACATTTTAAATTAATTAAAATTAGGTCACATTTGTAGCAAATGACCAAATATACATTTATGTAAAACCCTACACTAGTTAATATATCATAAATAAGTATACACCTTTTCCCTTTCTTATTACATGGAACTAGTGACATGTCAATGGTATGAATAATATATTTCAGAATAATTAGTCAAAGAAGCATAAAAGATTATTCTTATCGTTATATAAAAAATAGTGAACTTGACATAAATAGTTCATCTACATGCAAATACATACAATTTAAAATCTCAGCCTAACTGTATTATCACATATATTTTGTAACACAGCCAAATTAACCAGAAATTATATTAGAACACAAAATAATTCTTAGAAATCAAAAGATACCTAACTATCTTAATAAGTACCAGAGTTAAAACTTCATGACCATACATAGGAAAAAACATACCGAAGAAGCCCAAGATAGTAAGATTTGTCTAAAATTTGCCTCTGGGGACCTAAAAAAAAAAAGTTTTTAATTACTACTGTTCAGTTTGGAAATGCCACCAAAATAGCCAAGCCAAAGCACAACCATAGTTCTACTCCACAATTCTGATAGTCTTTATTTATGCCCCAATAAATTTCATAATCAAGATGAATCGTTAAAATGGTAAAGAACACCGGGGCACCTGGCTGGTTCAGTCGGTAGAGTGTGTGACTCTTGATGTCAGGGTGAAATGAAGAGAGAATATCTTAGCATCATGTAATAATGGAAACTTGAATAAAGACCACAAAAATGGGACTAGAGGTAGGGCTGTTAAGACAGTAGACTCTACAGGTCAGGTTGACTGAATGCAAACTAAGAAAGTCTAGAACAGGGTTATCCAAGAGAACCTTCTGCAACAGTGGAAATACTCTATCTCACCACTGTCCAATAAAGTAGCTACTTGGGATTATTGAGCACTTGAAATGTGGCTGAGGCTACTGGAGAGCTGAATCTTTATTTTACATAATTTTAATTAATTTAAATTTAAATAGCTACATGTAGCTATTGATTATCATAATGAACAGTGCAGATTTAGGCTGTGAATTTCTCAATGCAAGAGATTATGACTTTTCATAATTTGTCTCAGAGACCTTTTTTTAGAAACATTATCTTATTTCAGTTATTTCAGTAGGAATAAGAAAATATTCCTAGGCTCAATGTCCCAAACCTTGAGAGATGAAGTGCTCTGCAAGGTGAGAGAAGTAAGGGAAGAGAGCACTGACTGTGAGGTGTATGCTCAGAAGAGAGAGAGAATGTGTTAGAATGGGAAATGGGGCACCAGAGCAGGTAAGAACAAGTCACAGCAGATAGTAGTGCATAGTGGTAATAATCAGAACTCTCCTGTAAGACTCTGAAGTATATTGGTAGAAACCATCTTAACTGATATTGGTTCTGTTCTGTAGGAGAAATCAATATAGTAATAAATATTTGATAAATTATCTATAGTATTTTTTAATAATATAAAATGTACAGACATTTCTGTGAATACATTTTTAAAGACTAAACAATTATATAATTTTTACACTTTTTCACAATACTGATAAGCAAGCTTTTTTTTTTTTTTTTTTTAAAAGATTTACTTATTTATTTATTAGAGAGAGAGAGCATGACAGGGGGGAAGGGCAGAGGGAGAAGCAGACTCTCTGCCGAGCAGGGAGCCCGGTGCGGGACTCGATCCCGGGACTCCAGGATCATGACCTGAGCCGAAGGCAGTCGCTTAACCAACTGAGCCACCCAGGCGCCCAAGCAAGCATTTCTAAACAATTGTTTTTTAATATTCAGTGAGCTAAGTAGTATTACAATAAAGAAAACTTCTCAAAGGCATGGCACACTATATTATACAAGGTAGTATAATATCTTATAATTAATTTTTTCCCAGAATATCTTCATCCCTGATAAGTCATTTGTCACAAATATAGAAAATAAAAAACTCATTATAGAGTTCACCATGCTTTGATTTGTATATATCACAAACCAATTTTTTGAATCATAACATGTAGTGTACCATTATGCCTTTTTAAACACAGAGGCACAAGGGAAGATGCGGTAAAAATCTATACGTTAGCCTTATTTCCTTACTTAGGGAGTTACATATTATAATGAAGCATTAAATATTAGAAAAAGTAACACTTCTTGACTCATTTCTCATAAATACATAAATATCTTAACAGTGTGACTTTTATATCAAAAAGTATTCAGAATATTTCTATGTAGTACTAGAATCTAATTTTCATTCCTGAGCTTTTCTTCAAATTATTTCAAATTTCTTCAAGTTATAACAAATTCCATGTTCAGAAAAATGAAGATTAAAATAGCTCACAAATGTATTTACTCTCTAGTTCACAATATATTTTCACATTCATTCTTTTATTTAACCCTAACCACAGTCTTGTGAACCAAGGAATAAAAATTGAATAAAATAGCCTTTTTATAATTCTCATTTAGGAATAAGGTACTGTAATGTTTTTTTTTTAGATTTTATTTATTTATTTGAGAGAGAGACAAAGTGTGCACAAGTAGGGGGAGGGGCAGAGGGAAAAGGAGAAACAGACTCCCTGCTGACCCCTGCTAGATCATAACCTGAGACAAAGGAAGATGCTCAACTTCCTGAGCCACCCAGGTGCCCCTGTAATACTTCTTATATAAAATATACTTATCTTCTTAAAATAGATACCTTTCATTCCAGTTTTCATTCCACTCAAACCTTGTTGTGTTACAGGACGGTCAGCAACTTTGATTTGAGAAGACAGAACTCCTCCTGTCCCTATGGGACCGCCACGAGAGCCTGGTCTTGCTGTTCCAGGTGGCATCTAAATGAAAAACATGATTCCAGTTTTAGTAAATGAGAAAAATACTATACTGTTAAGACTGCATAGAGAATATTTTCAAAATTAAAATTCTATTTAACGTGTAAAATACTCCTTATATTTTGAAATTCTGAAATATGAAATATTAAATAAAATTCTTTAACATTTAAAATTCTGTGAACATTAAACAGCACATTTCTTTAAAATGTAAAATTCTCGGGGCGCCTGGGTGGCTCAGTTGGTTGAGCGACTGCCTTCGGCTCAGGTCATGATCCTGGAGTCCCGGGATCGAGTCCCGCATCGGGCT